CCCCCCGATTTTTTTTTAAATATATTTTCAGTTTTAGTTTTTTCATCTTTCGGTATACAGGTTCAAAATTTTACAAGTTTCAAAGTTATGAGTTCGGAGGTTTATGTGTTTGGAAGTTTACGGGTTTAGAAATTATAAAGTTTACGCGTTCGAAATTTCGTGGTTTCGAAAGTTTAGCGGTTCGGAAGTTTATGAAATTAGTGGGTTCGAAAGGTTGTTGGTTCGAAAGTTTATGATTTCATGTTTATTGTATCTAAATTATTTATGAATACTTTTGAGAAATTATTTTCCTTAATTTCCGTACCAAACACCGAAAAATGAATAAGATTACTACTTATTTTTCAAGAAAATATTTTCTTGGAAAATATTTTTTACGAAAAATATTTTCCTTTTATACCAAACACACCCTTAAAAACCAAAAACAAAGAAGTTTAGAAAAAATAATTCTGCACCATTTTTCAGTGGAAGTAGTTTATCATTGTTGGATAACGTCATTCAGCAAAAAATATGCGTGAGAGAAGATGTTTGCATTTTGTGAAAAGTAAAGGATGACTTGTATTTGTTCGATTATTACAAGTGGAAGTCTACCAATGTGATCTTAGTCTTCCTTTTTTCTTTTCAGCCTACTTCATTTGTGCTAATCAGTTTACTTTCTAACTTCGAACTACATGCGGTCCGACGAATTTTGTGGTTTATGAGGGCCTTAATCTTTTCTAAAATAAAATTATTATTTTTTATTTGAAATCTATTTTTCTAGCTTCTTTTAGATACAAAGTTATTAATAATTTTCTTATAATCAATTTCTCTTAATAAGTCTTTCTCAATTGATAGTATAGCTAATCCATTTAATCTCTCATGATACATTGTTGATCTTAAGGTAAGATTTTATCAATTTTAATTTTGAAAAACTTCTTTCCACGGAAGTAACTGTAAAAGGAGTTATTAACATTATTTTATAAGGAATATAGGCATTTGAAAAAAACTATTTTTTTTATTTGTTGGAGTATATCAATTAAACTGTTATCTTCTAATTGTACCATTTTTCTTAACACTTTTAATTTAGAAAATAAATCTAAACCATCAATATCTGATTGATTATTATGATTTACTGAACATTCAAGATTAAGTTAATATTTTTTCAAATTTTCTTCAACTAGTGATCTCAGTTTTTTACGCTAAGAGAAAATCAAAAATATTTTCATATGCTTCGAGTTGTTCAAATCAATTTTGAAGTGAAAAAAAATAGCCTTGTCTACTATGTATAAAAAGTAATCAACTCTAAAGGACACTTCGAGAGATTTTGAGATTTCATTATCATCATTCTCATCAAATTATTTGTTCTTATACATCACACGTTTCTTACGAAATCCAGGTTCAATATTCATTTCAAATGCAATTTTCTTGGCAGAAATCATAACACTTGCAAATCTTTCTTCTCTATATTTTTAAAGAAAGAAATCAAACTTTTTCACACACCCAACGTTTTTTCTAAACTTATAGCCTATTAGGTGTAACAACAAATGGGCCCCCCCATAAATGTGGGAACTAAAGCAGTTATTTTACTTGCTTTAGGAAAGGGCCGCCCCTGACTACATGTTAACAAGTGTGATTGCCCAAATAAAGCAAAAATAATTACTCTTATTGACTTAGATATCAATTTTTATTTTTATTTTCAAAATTTATTAGTATCTGATATTTATATCAAATTAAGTAATTTAGCTTTAAAAGTCAATTCGAAAGTTAACCTTTGTCAAAGAAATCGTACATACATTATGTATAGGGTAAAATATGCTATGACACATGGCCGTCCGAGAAAGGGACACATGGAACCCAAGACAGGGGGATGGCTAAAGACCAAAGGCAACTGTTTCGTTTGTCACCGGAAAGAATAACGCTCATAAAGATGTGATAAATGCTCTTCTCCCGGTAGCGTTTAATAGAGAATATTCTATGGCATTAAGAGCGGTTACTCGTTACAAGAAATTTGACATTTATGTTCACCTTTATATCTTCATCAATGCCCCTCATAATTGACATTAAAAAAGGGCACGACCCTAGGACCTTCTTCATAGCTA